AAAATGCCATTGACTAGGTAAATGTTTGTTGTTGTTGCAACACCCCAAAATTGCAGTTGGTGCAAGCACCATTTGCATAGGATATTCTGTGCTCAATTATCTTGAACGCTGCCAGGCAGACAACGCGGCGTATGAGTAACATTACTTTAATTATGCATACGCGATAAGAACAGCAATGCGACATTTTTTTGTGCCCAGGCAACAGACACAGAGAAGGCATTCAAGCCAACTCAAGTAGTAAACACGCTGACAGTCATTGGCATTATCTGTGCGACTATTAAGACTTCATTACACATGTCATATGCGCCATTTGGCGACTTGTTTCACAGAAATCCAACGAGACGCAAAACACACATTAAATTCCAAAATGATCGTTAATATTTTTGATATTTTTTTTCTTTTTTAACTATTTGTTGTTGTTACTGTGGTGTTTTTAGCCGAAAGCTGCTGCGAAATATTTTGTTAACAAAATTTGCCGTTGCTGCCGCTGGCGCTGCACGCAGATAAGCAGCAGCAGATAAGACCGGCAGCGGTAGCAGTTGCAGCAACAGCAATAGCTACCAATGCACACTGGTTTCAAGTTATTTACATTTGTTAAATGTATATTTTTTGAGCAAATTGATGGTTAATGTGTATGGGAAAGTGAGAGGAACTTGCTCATATTACAAAATAATAAATATATAAATACTTATGATAAGAAATACAAATATAAATAAATAATAATAACAATTATAATGATAATAATAATGATAATGATAATGATAATGATAATAATAATGATAATGATAATAAAAATAACAATACTAACAATAATACTGATAATTATAAAGATAATATTAATGCTGATAATAATTATAATAATATTCATAATATCAAATATATCATATTTAATTGAACTCCTTCTTCAGTTCGTCTCACTAGAGACTGGAAGTCATGGTTGAAAGAAAAAGTATACGATACTCATAATAATAATTAAGTATAATAATAATAATTATCGACACTAACTCGGAATACCTTTAAATAATTTTCAAAGTTATAATAGGCCTAAGTTATAATAGGTCTAGCAACCAGTGCTTCGATAAATTCAGTGTAAATAGTTTGGCACCACTGTGCAGTGGCAGCAATAAGCGTAAGTTCAATACAATTGCTGCGGTAGCAGGCAGCAACATCGTTAACATTGCACAAAAAACAGCTATTAAAGCCAACTAGCCGCAAAGTCCGAATCCAAGTCCAAGTCCGACTGCGAGTCCAAATCCAAGCTGAAGTTGCAGGCAAATATTGCGGCTTGGAGTCGAATTGCAGTGTCTCTGGCGTTTGTGACATGCACAAAATGCATGTATATGAGCACCTACATACGATAAGGTTGGGTTAATAATCGCCAGAGAGCAACGGAGCCACAAGTTCCAGGCACAGCCATAGCTACAGCACAGTACGTAAATCATAAGCATTAAAAGCAGGCAACGAGTGGCCACAACCGAAATGGCTGCATTATGCATGTGCATAACTTGGAAAATTGGCGACGCTGCCAACGGTTGCAAGTGGTTGCGTATGCATTCCGCTAATTAGTTGGATCGCCTCAAGCGGCAGCCAGCTCTGGGCGCAACGAGAGTGAAAGGCGAAGCGGTGCGGCGTTAAAAGCTGAGCACTGGCCAATCATTAGCAGCTAAGCAAAGTGGATGAGCTGGATGAGCTGTGGCTGCTGGAGTGGTGGGAACAGCGGATGTTGAACAGGTCTTGGTCTGGTTATGAACAGAAATTACTATAACAAGGCTCAGGGAATCTATAAAGATGCTGTTAGCGGATAAGCAGCCTATAAATGATTCACTCTAATGAATAGAAATTTTATAGACTTCCTATTGTAGCACACATATGTGTGGGAATGGCCAAGGTTGATGATCTCTGGCTGAGTCTTATGACATACATATATGCCAAGGATTACTCATGAGGTTAGGCTTCTTGCACAATGAGATCACACAAGCTGATTAAAAAGGATCTCACAGTATTTTGCACAGTGAACCAAAGTATTTGACATTTCGGCCCAGTCACCCGTTACTCATGCCACTCGCTAGCAACTGCAACAGTGCAACTGTGTGGCACACGGTGCTAATGGTGGCTGTTGTTGCCACCTCGCTGCCAGTTGACAGCCGTTTAATTTACGCTTTGTTTGTTTTGCTGTTTGTTTCTCTGTTTGTTGTTTGCTGTTTGCTGCTCTGTCGCGTTCAATGAGGTGAATGTTTGATTTATCGCCCGATTATAGAACAAAATGTCATAGATTTCTGCGTCGCCAGCATCGATTCCGATTTCGATTTAGCTTTAAGCCACCAAGTGTTCAAATACCAAAGCAACTACTCATGTGTGCGCCTGCTGCTCTGCATCTCTTACAGGTGGTCGCCCGCAGCCGTGGTGGTGTCGCAACAATCGCAACGGTGCCGGCCAGAACCGCTCGCCAATTTCCATTAAGCATTCGGCGGACAGCATACGCCGGCCGACTAGCAATTCGGGCGTCTGGACCTGGCTGGGCGGCAGTCGGCGCTCGTCGGCGGGACCCGATCAGATTGGTCCGCCATCAACATCGCCAGCCGAGAATCATTATACCCACATGGATGATGCGTACAGTCCGGTCGGTGTCAGCGAAGCTCTCTACGCGGAACTTGATCGCGAATCGGTGCGCTCGGCAAATCCGTCGTATCAAAATACGGCATACAGTCAGTGTGGCGAGGTGAGTTAAGCAAGATGGCAAACTATATCCAATTATGTAACGTCATTCATCAAAATCCTTTGCAGAAATACAATTTCCAAGCACACGAGCAAGACATTCCCATGGTCGTCTCGTCAGCGCCGAGCAGCGCCTATTACTCGGATCTCTCCGTAACGGCCATGCCGGGTGGCGCCAGTGGCAGCAACCAGGGCGCCTATGAGATTGTTGGCCTAAATGTCATGTCACAGCCGCTGCCCAATTGGGAGCATCATGGCGGCGGCGGCGGCAATGGTGTTGGCGGCGTTGCCACCACCGGTCTGGCGACGGGTGATGCTGCCGCAGCGGCCATGACGCAACGCCGCATGCCGCGTCTGGCGGCCATCAATGAGACGAGCACCAGCACAGTGCCCTCAGACTATGTCTAAGGAGTTGAGCAGTTAATTTGTAATTTATATAAGAGATATGTGACTTTAAAAAAGTGGAAAGAGAACAAGATATGCGAGCTTAACATGTTAATGAATTACGTTACACACAATCTATATACATACATATATATAGTCTAATGATATATATACAAATAGTTCTAAAGATATATATATATATATATATAAATATATATTTATAGGATATGCTAGCTTAGAGTTAGCGTAGTTTCGATTCGTGTCTTTTGTTTATGTCTGAATTGTAATATAAAGCGACAGATTTACATACAAGCATGTATTATAAATCTAGTTTTAATATAGTGTTAAACAACGATTTAATCGTGGGTGATATTTAGCCTAAATATGCTATATTCTTATGTTCTATGTACTTTAGCATTTTCTAAAAATGTAAAAACAACAGAAGCGGCAAGAAAAAAGGCCCAAAAAAAAAGCAAAAGCAAAAGCAAAACAGAAAACCGAATTATAAGCAATTTTTTGATAAATTTGGATTAGGTGAGAGTAACGCATTTCAGTCTTAACGAAAACACCCCAACAATGTACCCAAAATCATATAATGACATTATACGTATTTATACAGCAAAAAAACAAAAAAAAAAAAAAAAAACACTCATACACACATTCACACGTTCATACATATTTACAGCAAATGAATTTATGCTTACAGGAAATATACTATATACAATATCTATAAACGAAGCAAAGGAAAACATATTTACAACGATTTTAATGCAAGAAATTTAAAAAAAAAAAAAAGAAGTATTTATGACTATTTACGAAACACACACAGAATTATTTATACTGCATACAAATATACAATATAATATACTACACGCAACCCAAAACTGGGCCATTGCCACAGATCACAGCTCTAGCTCTCTCTCAACTCCAAGTAGCACATCATATCATTTACATACTACAGCATTAACTCAATATAAATAAACTACATACATACATGTATACAAACAATTTTCCAAGCATATAACTTAGTAGACATATGGATTTTAGATTTAGTAGCAGCAGCTGCCCATGCTGTTTAATTTAATTTTTGTACATTTTGTTTTAGTTGAAAATATAATTAAAAACTATTGCTATTTACATTCTGAATCCCAAAATGGATCTGTGTTTTATTTACCTCTGAAAAGGGCTCAACTGAAGGCGTTTGAATACCGCCTGATGATTCCGACTCTGGCGGAAAAGACAAACATTTCGTTGGACATTTTGCATTCACGCGAGTTATACGATATATAATTTATTTTTTAAGCAATCAGTTTTTAATACCTTTTGAAACACAAACAATTTATCACTTTTTACATCTATAAATATATATACAATTGATTGCCACGTTAGATTGTCGGACTGACTCATAGCCCAAACAGTAAGAGACGTTATTTAATTATAAGTGCACGCTAAGACGGACCATAAGACAAATTTTTGTTGTATACCAATGTTTAAGAGGTATACAAATGCATACCCTGCATTTATCGCATATCGTTTACCAACAATTTGAAAATTCTGACACGTATGTATATTTTTGAATGAGGTTATGCATGTATGTATGTGGTTATGAATATATGTTTGTTTATGTATAAATGTATGTATGTATGTATGTGTTCATATATAAAAATAAATGATTGGATGAATGTATGCATGAAAACAATATAGGCCCACTTTACCTTCCGCTATATATCAATTTATGTTCTCAATGCAATTCTTCTATGCGATTCTCATGAAATCAAGTAAGCTCTACAGATTTTGATGCCTTGATTTAAAGATTTGTATTGGCAAGTTCTGCGGGCCATCTAACAAAGCCCATCTCTGCTAACCTACTTATCTACTCTCGAATTCATATTTCTTTCTGCTTCTATTACTTAACTACTTCTCTACACTTGTGTTAATTAAGCGATGTGTTTTTATAAAAGTCTGACTCCCTCCTAATAAAAGATTGCAGTAAAATAATCATTTGAAAATAACCAAATATAACATGCGGATTAGAATTGTTTCTACAGAAGCCCCAGTAATCTGATTTGCTGCGGTTCTTTAGATGTGTTAAGATAACGAAACTCAAATTTGTTGGATTCGTTTGAAATTGTTAAAATAGGCAGTGTTTTTCCTTTTTAAACATTTCATTTTTCGGCAAGCTCAACAACGTTTCAGCACAATAGCATTTAACCGGAGAGAATAGTTTGCATAGAAATAGACGGACGGACGGCATGGCTATATCCACTCGGCTGTGTTGATACCCGCTTAGAATATTATAAGTTCCGTTTAATGCTTAAGTGCTTTCATGACACAATTGTAATATTCTTTGGAAGAGTTAAAATAGAATATATGTGAAGGCAATACAGACCTGAGTATTGGTTATCTCCAATTATAAACGCACACATTTAGATCACCCCGTTGAACGACAAAATAGTTCATCCAGAGTCGCTAAGTTACTCGAAATGCTATGAACCTTTCAATCGTATTCAACATATTCAGTTTCTGGCATATCATTGCCATCCTCATCTCCTACAATCTCATGTGTGTCAGTTCCTAATTCGGAGCTCTGCTCCTTAAGCTGGCGGGTATGAATTTTGTAGTGAGCGCGCAGAGCTGCCTTCTGCCTAAAATGTCTGCCGCATTCCACGCACCCATGTGGCTTCTCGCCCGTGTGGATTAGCTCATGTTGGTTACGTGTCTCGGGCTGAATGAAGGCGCGCTCGCAATAGCGGCAGGCATAATTCCGAGCACGCTCGTGTACGGTGCGCATATGTTTATTCAGATTACTGGAGCTGTAGCACACCTTAGAGCAGAGCCGGCAGCAATAGGTGCGCTCCAGCGTATGATAGTTTAGGTGAATCTTGAGTTCAGTCCGTGTCGTCTTCTGTACGCCACAGTATGAACATGTGTAATTCTTGATGCCCGCATGACGCATCATATGTATCTTTAACAGCTGCTTAGTGGCGAAACGTCGCTCACAGTCCGGCTCCTCGCACGCAAATGGCTGCTCCAACTTGTCCTTGTGCGTAAAACGATGGTTTTTGAGCAGCGCCATGGTGTCAAAGAGCTTGCCACAGAACTCGCAAACATGCGACTTGTGCTCCTTGCCAAGCTTATGACACTTTCGCATATGCAGCGATAATGTATGCTTATGGCTGTAGCCGCGATCACAGCCTGGCTCGGGGCAGGGGTACGGCATCTGTCCATGTCGCCGACTATGCGCTAGCAGGCGCTTCTCATTTAAGAATTGCGCGGCGCATATATCACATTTGAAGACGCTTTTTGGATGCCGTGGCGAGGAACTCTAAAATGTTAAGCAATGCTACTGATTAATATCTAAAATAATTCTGTTTTTGTCTTTCTTACTGTTACGGCATCGGATTCAACGTTGTCCTCCATGGGCTGTGCAGGTGTTTCCATGTCATGATTTTCAATTTCCACTTCTACAGAATCCAATTGGTGCTCTTCACATTTTTCATTTTTTTCGTGAAGTTTTCCATTTTGCTTTTTATTGCTCTCTTTTAGCTCCTCGACTGCAACTGTACTCGGTGCCGCCTCCAAGTCGTAAATAGGTTCCTCCTCATCGCAAAATGCCAAAATTTGCATGCGCCATTTTGTGTCAGCCGCAATGCACTTTGCACGGAATGCATACAACTGTTCCAACTGGTTATAGCACGCCTGGCACAGCTCACTGGGGACTCGCTGCTCCTCAGACACGGACAAATCGGTGCACGTGACAAACTTGTGTGCCAATAGGGGCAATTTACGCATATCGTAGCTACCGACAGTTGCATCGAGATCACAAATACAAACACGACACTTCGTAAAAGTAGTCATCGAAGCTGCTAATTGGTTTATCACATTTGAATAAAACTAGTTTCTTATCCACTATTTTGGAATAAATTACGGCGTTCTTTTGTTAACGCGGTTGCAGCTGATCAGAGTTTATCGACTATCGATAACTTTATTCAATTGCAACCGTGTAAACAAATGTTGGTGGCATCAAACGTGACTAGAAAAATAATGCAAATATTATTAAAAACTTGTGCTTTAAAAATATATATTATAGTAAAATATATAATATATAAAAATGCATTTGCATTACTTTTTAATTTTAAATTATTTATAAAATGTATTCGTTACTTTTGAAATTGTTAACAGCTGTGTCCAACACTTTGTTAATAGATACTTAAAAGTACTTGTTAGATGTAACAGGTCACCCCCGTATTCATTGTTTACGTTTAGGTACAAAGTTCAGTTGTCTTGCTAAAATGTTGAAATTAAATAGTTACGGATCGCGCAAATTAATTTTAGATATTTATAAATATCGATTCTATTCGGCTGCCGTCCCAAAAAGGAAACCCGAAAATGAAGCTAGCAAGGAGCCCAAAAGGCCAAATGAATCTTTTATGGCAAACATATTTCGTGGCACTTTGGTTTCGAAGCAAGTTTTCCCCTACCCCGATGTCTTGACATTGGAACAAAAGGAAACAACCGATAGTATGCTAGATCCATTTCAAAGATTCTTCTCCGATGTTAACAACGCTGCGCGCAATGACGACAACTCCGTCATCGACGATAATACGCTTAAGAACTTATGGGAGCTCGGCGGCATGGGCATCCAGGTGCCCAGCGAATATGGCGGCCTGGGCATGAACAATACTCAGTACGCAAGGCTGTGCCAAATAGTCGGAGCTAATGACTTGGGACTGGGCATTACCCTGGGCGCACATCAGAGCATCGGCTTCAAGGGTATTCTGCTGTATGGAACGCCCGAGCAGAAGGCGAAGTATTTGCCCAAGGTAGCTTCTGAAGAGGTTTATGCAGCCTTTGCTCTAACCGAGCCAAGCTCTGGATCGGATGCCAATTCCATACGCAGCCGCGCAGTCAAAAGTGCGGACAACAAGTACTATATTCTAAATGGTTCCAAAATATGGATTTCCAACGGCGGATTAGCCGAGGTCATGACAGTGTTTGCCCAAACCGAACAAATCGACAAAAAGACTGGCGAAAAGAAAGATAAGGTGACCGCATTCATTGTGGAGCGTTCCTTCGGCGGTGTCACCAGCGGTCCACCAGAGAAGAAGATGGGCATTAAGGCCTCAAACACGACCGAAGTTTACTTCGAGGATGTTAAGATTCCCATTGAAAACGTTCTCGGCAAGGAGGGCGAAGGTTTCAAGGTGGCCGTCAACATACTGAACAGTGGACGCTTCGGCATGGGTGCCACCATGTCGGGTACCATGAAGAAGTGCATTGAGATTGCCACGGCACATGCCAACAGTCGCGTGCAGTTCGGACAGAAGATCAAAGAATTTGGCACCATTCAGGAGAAATTGGCCAAAATGAATATACTGCAATATGCCACAGAGTCGATGGCGTTTATGATATCGCAAAACATGGACTCGGGCAGTCAGGATTACCATTTGGAGACGGCCATATCGAAGATTTACTCCTCTGAGAGTGCTTGGCATGTCTGCGATGAAGCTATACAAATTCTTGGTGGCATGGGATTCATGAAGGAGACTGGCTTGGAGCGCATCATGCGAGATTTGCGCATCTTCCGCATATTCGAGGGCACCAACGAGGTGCTACGCTTGTTTGTGGCTCTCTCCGGCGTGCAATACGCCGGCAACCATTTAAAGGAACTGCAGCGCGCGCTGAAAAATCCAGCCGCCAATCTAGGCTTCATATTCAAAGAGGCATCCAGACGTGCAACAACAACAATTGGCTTGGGTGGCACCGACTTGAGCACCTTTGTGGTGCCCGAATTGCAGGAATCTGCGAAGAGAACCGCCGCCTGCATTGATCTATTTGGCCGGACCACGGAGGAGGTGCTAGTGAAATACAACAAGAACATCATCAACGAACAGATTATATTGAATCACTTGGCGAATGCCGCCATCGATATTTACGCCATGATCGCAACGCTCTCGCGAGCAACTCGAACTGCGCAACTAAACCTGCCCACGGCGGAACATGAACTTAACTTAACCAAAGCCCTGTCAATTCAGGCAACCGAACGAGTAAACCAACATTTGCGAAAGGCGAGCTCAGGCCAACTGCAAGCCGAAAACAAATTAATATCGACATTAGCAAAAAAGATTTGTGAACAGGATGGCGTACACTCGACCGGTGTCATTGATTTACATTGAATTTTAAGTTTTAGGACAAAGAGATTGAACAACTAGAGAGAAACTAATCCACATGTCTAATCCAACCATTAGAAAATTATATATGTCTCAACCTTTTCTGTACCGAATTTTAAAATAAATTTTTAAGTAAATTACAATTCGATTTAGCTCTATTTTGGGATAATTAATGCTCATCATTTTTTGTTTCAGCATTAAAAAACTTTGAAATGAGAATGATTAAACCTGAACACATGAACATTTCTGTTCAGCTCAAAGTCCATTTGGTCTGTCATTTGCTGACGTACTATATACTAGATGACGACGTACTATGCCAATCTATAATACAGTAGCCGTTCGCAAATCAGAACGATTCTTTTCCACATTTTCTAAAATTTTATATACCATACATTACATTTAACGAGCGAATTCTATTCAACTAAAAAAGATAATAAAATAGTTCTCAAAGATAGAATTTCTTGTTCAATATTCGATTCTAATTTCTATAAGTTCTAGTGAGTGATTACTGTACTAAGGAACTTTGGACTTTGAATTAGGATGATGATAGTTGATGATAGACACAGCACGCGAATTGTGAGTGCAGACCAAAGTCAGACCTTATATATAACAATTTTTATAGTATTATTACCCCATTTAATAGGTTTCTTTGGCTGGTTTCTTGAAGAGATTCGTCATTCTTACGGTTGCAAATTAAGATTATTAACTGCCGCCATTCGACTGCACAAAGCTAACAGCAGCTGTGTCAGTCGGAGCAGTCATCAATAGCGTATACACAGCCGAGTTGGAGTCCTTGCGCTGTCGCTCATGGATCTTGCGATGTGTGCGTAAGGCCGCTGGCTGGGTAAAGCGTTTGCCGCATTCATCGCACTCGTGCGGCCTTTCGCCGGTGTGGGTCATCTCGTGGTATTTGCGGGTGTCCGCCTTGGCAAAGCTGCGCTCGCAGTAGCTGCATGCATAATCTCTGGCTTGCTCGTGAACGGTGCGCACGTGCATCTTGAGATTGCCGGAGCTGTTGCACACCTTCGAGCAGAAGCGACAGGGCCAGGTGCGTTCTAGCGTGTGATAGTTCATGTGTATCTTGAGCTCATTCCGTGTTGTCTTGCGCATGCCGCAGTAAGGACAGCTAAAGTTCTTGATGCCCGCATGCCGCATCATGTGCACCTTGAGTTTCTCTCTGCTGGAGAAACGCCGTGCGCAGTCCGGCTCTTGGCACGCGTGCGGCAACTCCGATTTGTCCTTGTGCGTGTAACGATGATCATTGAGCACTGCCGTCGAGTTAAACACCTTGCCACAAAACTCACACACGTGCGACTTGAGCTCCGGGCCCAATTTGTGGCATCTGCGCATGTGCATGATAAGCGTGGGCTTGTGGCGATACATCTTGTGGCAACCCTCCTGGTCACAGCTAAACCAGCGGCTGGTGCCCGAGTGTTGCTTTAGGTGCTCCGACAGACAGTGGAAACGATTAAATGCTCGATCACAGCCGGCCTCAGTGCACGGGTAAGGCATGAGGCCCTCATGTTGACGCTGGTGCGCCTGCAGGCGATGCTCCACCAAGAAGCGCATGTCGCATATGTTGCATTGAAAGCTGGGCGCAGCTGGTTTGGCTGGCAATCCCTAAAAGAGTAAAGTTAGCCAAATGTTTTGCGAGTACCGGGCAGATATACCTGTGCCCCTATTGTATCCAAAACTGTGGCTTCTGTTTCGGGCAACTCCATTTCAGTCTCTTCATTTGCCAATTGTTCTGTGCTGAGCTTGTCTGCTCGCCTCTTTCGCACCTTCTTCTCAGTGTAGGCATCCAGCTCTGAGACTTCTATAGCTGCCGCATCCAAGCTGCATTTGGGATTCTCAGCATCAGAGGATGCTACAATTTCAGCGCGCCATTGTTTATCGGCTGCAATGCACTTGGCACGGAATGCATAGAACTGCTCCAACTGATCATGGCATGCCTGGCATAGCTCACTTGGCAACGTCTGCTCCTTCCCCGTCTCAAACACAATCAAACCTGTGCACGTGATGAATTTGTGTGCCAGTGTGGGCAATTTTCGCATATCGTAGCTGCCGACATCCGCTGCGAGGCTACAAATGCAAGCGCGGCATTTAAGTCGAATATTTGCTGACGTCATAAGCGTAATTTAAGTGTCGCTGACCCAGTTTGTAAGTGCAACAAACGGTATTTGTTTATTTTATTATTGTTTATTTGCTCGAAACAGCTGTGCCGACAGAAGAGATGCCCGAATCGGTGACTGTAACAGTAGCAGTGACTGAAAACAGTGACAGCGCCGTGTAACAGTGATTTTCAGTGTTGGAATTGGCAAATATATTGAACAAAACTTATTTGGTTTAATATTCATTTTACTTTTATTACAATAGTATTCACTATGAGAAGTTTTTGTATTAATAAATTATGCCTGTAAATGCACCGAATCTGCGCCCAAGTAGGTTACTTATATTCATGTACCACCTGTCCTGGCACATTGCCAACTCCTCCACCCACACCGGCAGCTATATCGTTTGGAGATTGGATTGGATGGGCATTTGTTTCCATGCTCTCGCGCTCATGAATCTTGCGATGCGTGCGCAGCGCACCCTTTTGTCTAAAGTGCCTGCCGCAATCCGGGCACTCGTGCGGCTTCTCACCGGTGTGGATCAGCTCGTGTTGCTTGCAAAGGAATGGCTGGGTGAAGGTGCGGTCGCAGTAGCTGCAGGCATAGCTACGGGCACGGTCACGTTCGTGTACGCTGCGCATATGCAGGTTGAGATTGCTTGAGCTGTTGCACACCTTGGAGCAAATGCGACAGCAATAGGTGCGCTCCAGCGTATGATAGTTCAGGTGAATCTTGAGCTCGGTCCGTGTCGTCTTCTGCACGCCACAGTAGGTACAGCTATAGTTTTTAATGCCCGCATGCCGCATCATGTGCACCTTGAGCAGCTGCTTGCTGGAGAAGCGTTGGCCACAGTCTGCCTCTTCACACACATACGGCAACTCCGATTTGTCCTTGTGGGTGAAGCGATGATTTTTGAGTCGCCACAGCGTGTCGAATGTCTTGCCACAGTATTCGCATACGTGCGACTTGTGCTCCTTGCCCAGCTTGTGGCACTTGCGCATATGGACGCTTAGCGTGTTCTTGTGGCTGTAGCCGCGCTCGCAGCCAGGCTCCGGACACGGATAGGGCATCAGTCCATGTTGACGCTTGTGTGCTTGTAGGCGATGTTCCTCCAAGAACTGCGTCGCGCAGATATCGCATTTGTAGATCGATTTTTGCTGTTGCTGCGGCAAGTTCTAAAATGACCAGAGGCCGAAATGAAGCTTAAATACAAACATTTCCAATGCTTTGCAAACCTGTTCGGCACCCAGTTCCGAGTTGACTTCCGTGATCTGCTGCGGTGGTGCGTCTACGCTTGATTCCACTTGTGCTTCTGTATTGGCTGTTTCCGGCAGGTCATGATGCTGGTTAGTGTCTGCCTCTACGCGGCACTGCTTCAGCTCCACGACTTCTTCTGGAGTCGTTTTCGGCGCGGCATCGTTAATGGGCTGCTCATCAACGCAGAAGGCTAGTATTTCCATGCGCCATTTCGTATCGGCTGCTATGCACTTGGCCCGAAATGCATACAAACGTTCCAACTGGTCATGGCAGACGCGGCACAGCTCACTTGGCAGCCGCACCTCATCGGATACGGACAAATCTGTGCAGGTGACGAACTTGTGCGCCAGCTTGGGCAGCTTTCGCATGTCATAGGATGTAGCATCTGCATCGAGTGTGCAAATGCACACACGGCACTTGGATGAGATGGACATTTATACTGTTCACCAGATCGCAATAAATTCAAAGCAATTTTGCTGAACAGTGTGCAAGATATTTATTTTTGTTTATGCGGGAATCAGCTGATGGAAACAGTGTGCAAAGGGGCGTATTGCAAGTTGTCACTGCAAGTTTGGCATTTTCCAACACTATTGCTTAATATGTGGGTGGAAAACTGGTAGAAATTCTCGAACTGCACAACAAAACATTTGAAACAATGGAAAAATCTAATGGAATACACTATATTGAGCTTTCTAACAATTTCATACGTTTTGACGCCGTCAGCCAGCTAACAAATGTCTTCTTCGACGACTCCAACAAGCAGGTAACAGAAGGGAAAGTCCCTAAAGCCAAAACGGGTGAACTGCAGCATTGTTTTGTTTTAGATTTTTGCCGTCCGCTCGGGCGGAGCCACGGGCGTGGTGGTTAAGGGCCCCGTGGAGGATACTGTGATAACGTTTTGCATGAGTGATCGTGGAGGCGCTATACGCTCCATCAAATTCTCGCCGGATAATCAAATTCTGGCCGTGCAACGCAAGGAAAACGCGGTAGAGTTTGTTTTCTTTCAGGGCGAACAACCGTTGTTGCAGGACATCATAACGCATCAGGTCAAAACGTTGATCTATGGCTTCGTTTGGGTTCACAATCGCGAACTGGCGCTCATATCGAACACAGGCGTGGAAATCTTTCAAATTCTGCCCGAGAAGCGACAGGTGCGCTCAGTTAAGGCGCTGAGCATAAGCATCAAATGGTTTGCCTGGTGCTGTGATGCCAATGTCGCGCTGCTGTGCACCACAGAGGGCAATACCCTGGTGCCTGTGCTGGTAAAGCAAAAGGTCATTACCAAGCTGCCCAAAGTGGATTGTGAGTATTGGTTAATGAAAGTTTTCGAGCCAATCTTCATTTGCTTCATTTTCATTTAGTGGGCAATCCAAGTCGCGAGGTGCAGGAAAGCAAAGTAACGTTGGGTAGAGTATATGGAGTGCTGGCCGTGCTCATACTGCAATCAAACAGCGCCACGGGCATGATGGAGGTCGAAGTGCATCTGTTAAATGGACCCGGTCTGGCGCCTCGCAAATGCCATGTGCTGCGTCTCAGCCTGATTGGGCGTTTTGCCATCAACACTGTGGACAATCTGATAGTGGTACATCACCAGGCCACGGCCACATCGCTGCTCTTCGATATTGCGCTCAGCGGTGAGGTGATCGATGATGTGACCTACCATGCGCCCATTACGCCGGGACGCTCCATTAAACCATTTGGACTCAAGCTGCCCTCGCTCTCCCCTGATGGCCAAATTCTGCAGTGCGAGCTTTGTATGCTGTTGGCTGTAGTCATTTTGAATGTATTATTAATGCCGAAATCTCTTGCAGATTCTACCAACTGGGTGCTCTTCCAGCCCAATATTGTGATTGATGCCAAACTGGGCTGCATGTGGTATTTAAATTTATCCATTGAACCACTCTGCAATCTTATCTCGGACCGCATACGTCTCACTGAGTTTCTGCTGCAGCGCAGCAGTGGCAAACAGATGCTGTTGAAGGTGGTGGGACAGCTGATGGACGATCAGTACAAAGGCACGCTGTTGCCCGTGCTGGAGACAATCTTTGACAAGATCAACAAGATTTATTCGTGGGTAAACTGCTCAAAATGTTAAGGACTTAATAACGAGTGTCCTCCTCAGCTCCTGGGTGCAGTTGGAGCTTCAGAATCAAACGGCGCTGCCCTCCAATGTGAAGAGCACAATAGCTAAGAGCTCAACGCCGCCCATTGTGCTCATCGAGCAATCGGACATGGTGCAAATCTTTCAGCCAATTGCCAAGCGAACGTACACGGAAACTGTACTAATGCTATACCTGCAATCCCTTAACAAATACAACATTTCCGCTCAGGAGGAGCTGAGTAAGATGGTCATCAGTGAGCTGATGCGCAATCGTAGCTTTGATACGCTCCGCCGCCTGGTCAGCTACTCCATGCTGCTGGAGTCCAAGTCTGTTGCGTGCTTTTTGCTAGCGCACTCCGATGTCAACTCGGCCATTTCACAGGTGGCCATTGATATGCTGGGCAAAATTCAGGCCCATGAGGTAATTTCATCTTATTTATTATGTGAATCCCTTACTAATTTGTTGTTTGTAGATCATAATTGAGGTCATGCTGGGCCAGGGCAAGGTCATAGATGCGCTGCGGCTGGCCAAAAACTCAATGGGCTTAGAAAAGGTGCCGGCGCGCAAGTTCCTTGAGGCGGCCTACAAAACGCAAGATGATTTGATCTTCCACAGCGTCTACAGATTCTTTCAGATGCGCAATTTGCGCATGTACGAGACTCTGGCCTTTCCCAAAGGTGAGTGGGTGTCAGGTTTCTATATATATTCAATTAATGTTAACATTTGTTTTCCAGCCGAACAATGCACCGAGTTTATACAGCACTATAACACTACATTTGCCGCGGATAGTGCCAACAAGTTGCAGATTAGCTGAGCCCTTTTTCGGGTTTGTTCAGTTTATTTTGTGATTTAGCTAATAATTGGGGTATTCACACTTGAATCTACAAATAGCCTAAGCTTGTACATTAAATTAGAATAAACAAAATAGCTAAAGGAAACATTCATATATTTTTCATTTATAATTTTTACGACTGTGCTTTTAGACAAACATGTGACACTTATATTTTGGTGATTATTACGGATTTTCGAACCGATATTTGTTAAATCATTTTATCAACTTTATAACAACAGAAGAATATATTTTTAAGAGACTGATTCTCGGAAAAAGCATCTCGTGCTAAACATCAACGATGCTAAACTATTCACAAACACTCTCTGGATGATTACCCATAATACTTGACACTGCATTTGTGTACTTACACAACACAAAATTATTAAGAGGTTACAATAAATACAAAGAATGACTATATGGAATATACATAAATATATTAAAAAATATACATACATGCATAGAATGGTTTGCCTAGCAGAAACGTCTGGGTGGCGCCTTAAGCTGCAGCGAGCCGAGCTCCATGGTATGGGAGCTGCTTAACAAATGCTGACTGGGACATGGCAAGCGTAATGTTGACAACTGCCCAACGGGCATCGCTGCATCACAGCGTGGACATTGTTGCAGTGTTGTTGCTTCGTTCCGACAGTGCTCGTGCAGCGCATGTCCGCATGGACCCAAGACAAGCACTGGCGTCTGATCATACAAACGCTGCCGGCAGATGAGGCAACGCATGCTCGTTACCCAGACGCCGCGACGAGCAACACGACGCTGCTCGGCCAAATCTGTATGCAGATTCTGGCACAGTGTATCGGCGGCAACGCGCAGCGCCTCTGTCTCTTGGCGCGAACTAATCAGCATGCTCATCAACAAATCCTTGATGTCGCCAAAGCTGGTGGACACATTGTGCGTGTTCATGATGAGCTGCAGCAGGTTGTGCAGATCAATGTGCTGCGAGGCCTCGTGCAGCATGGACTTGGTAATGGACTGCAGATCCTGCTGCGGCAGTATATACTGCAACAGCGTAAACCAGCAACGCTC